TGTGGAACTTGATCCCAGGATGCTGGGATCGTGACCTGAGCCACCCAGGCGTCCCTCTTTTAATAATTTTTATCACTTTATTGATATTCTCATTTTGTTCATACATTGTTTTCATGATTTTCTTGAGCTCATTGAGCATATTTAGAAAACTTGATTTTGATGTCCTTGACCGGTGACTTTTTTTGTTTTTGGCATTTTGAGGGCATCAACTCTGTTTTCCAAACTTTTTGTAAAGCATCGTATTCCATGTTGTGTGTGGTCAGTGAAGTTTCTGTTCTGTTAGCTCTGTTAACCAGTGACCTGACAAAGATTTCCTTAAATGTCTGACTCCAAAAAGGGAAAAGCCAGAAGGTATTCTTGTCCCTTTAAATCTTCCCAGGGATGGGGTGCCTGGGTGGCTCAGTTGGTTTAACACCTGACTCTTGATTTCAGCTCAGGTCATGATCTCAGGGTTGTGAGATCGAGCCCTGAGTCGGCCTCTGTGCTCTGGGTGAAGTCCACTTGAGTATCTCTCTCTCCCTCTGCCCCTCCCCCCGCTTGCACGCATTCTCTCTCTCTCTCTCTCTCTCTCAAAATAAATAGAAATCTTAAAAAAAATCTTGCCGGGGGTGCATTGAGGGAAAGCCGCTGCATCCACTGCATCCTGAGAGGTCCAAAAACAAGGCAAGTGTCTGCAGCAGCCCCACAGGAGTCCACCAGATTGACCAAAGCACACAACCCCAGGTTTGGAGGACCGAGTCCCCACTGTCTGTCTGCTCCCCATCAGCCAGCCGCTCCCAGAAGGTGGGCCTCTCCCCACAGCTGCAGCGGGGCTGAGAAAAGGAGATCATACCTGTTCGCGCATGGCGTTCCCTTACCAAAAATCAGCATCTCGCTTTCATGTAAAGCATTTCCCTTGTTGTTGCAAGTGTCCAGTCGGGTTCCATAGTTCCAAAATACTTGATTCTGATCATTTTTCCCCCCTAGCTTACTAGTTGTTTTTGGTGAAGAGACCAACCTCGAGAGCTTCTTATGGCACTGTGTGTGTGTGTGTGTGTCCCGGATTATGATTAATATAACAGCCTTATTCAGATTAATACCAGTTTAATTTCAGTAGTATTCTAAGACTTTGCTCCTGTAAATTCAGTTCTCTTTCCTACTCCCTCCTTTGTGCCATATTGTCATACACATTATATCTTTGTACATCGTATGCCCATCAACACCAATTTTTATTTTTATTTAATTATTTTTTTAAAAGTAGGCTCCATGACCCAGTGTGGAGCCCCAGCACAGGGCTCAAACTCAGGACCCTGAGATTGAGACCTGAGCCAGGATCAGGAGTCGGACACCTAACCTACCGAGCCACCCAGGCACCCCCATCGACACCAATTTATAATTATCACTTTATCTTTTAACTCCTAGGAGAAGAAGAGTTACAAACACAAAATGTTTTTGTGCTGTACATTATATTTATTTATGTAGTTCCTTCACTGGTGCTCTTTAATTCTTCCCATGGATTCATCTCACCCTTGAGTGCCCGTTCAGCCTGAAGGACTCCGTCTAGTGGGGCAGGTCTGCTACTTAAAAATTCTCTGTTTTGTTTTTTTGGGGGAAGTTTGTTTTTAATCTGGGAACATGCTAATTTCCTTCATTTTGAAACAGGAATTTTGCTGGATATAGAATTCTTGGTTGAGTCTTTTTCTCTTTCAGCCCTTTGAATACATCATCACAGTGTCTTTTGTCCTTCCTTTCTGATGAGAAATCAGCTGTTATTCTTCTAGAGGATCCTTTGTACTTGATGAATTCCCTGATCTTTGGCTCCTTTCAAGATTCTCTCTTTGACTTCTTACAGTTTATGATTTGTGTAAGTGTGGATCTCTTTGACTTTATCCTTCTTAGGTTATTGAGGTTCTTGGATGTGTAATGTCTTTCATCAGAGTTGGGAAGTTTTCAGCCCATATTTCTTCAGATGTTCTTCATGCTTCTCTTTCCTCTCCTTCTGGGATTCCCCGTATGTGGATGTTGCACTTCACAGTGTCTCACAGATGTCTGAGACGGTATCTCGTCATCTTTTTTCTGTCCCTCAGTCTGGATAATATAAATTAATCCATCTTCAAATTTGTTGATTCTTCTCCTACCTCATATCTGTGGCTAAACCATTCTAATAAAATTTAAAAAATTTTTTTTATTAACATATAATGTATTATTTGTTTCAGGGGTACAGGTCTGTGATTCATCAGTCTTGCACAATTCACAGCGCTCACCATAGCACATACCCTCCCCAGTGTCCATCACCCAGCCACCCCATCCCTCCCACCCCCCACCACTCCAGCAACCCTCAGTTTATTTTCTGAGATTAAGAGTCTTTTATGGTTTGTCTCCCTCTCTGGTTTCATCTTGTTTCATTTTTCCCTCCCTTCCCCTATGGTCCTCTGTCTTGTTTCTCAAATTCCTCATATCAGTGAGATCATATGATAATTATCTTTATGATTGACTTATTTCACTTAGCATAATACCCTCTAGTTCCATCCACGTCACTGCCAATGGCAAGATTTCGTTTTTTTGATGGCTGCATAATGTCCATTTATATGTATATACCACATCTTTATCGATTCATCTGTTGATGGACATATTGGCTCTTTCCAGAGTTTGGCTACTAATTTTTTCATTTTTCAGCTTTAGAATTTCTGTTTGGTTCTTTTTTGGGATTTCTGTCTCTTTGGGGCAAGTCCTCAGTTTCCTACCTCCCTTTGGTTCTTTGGATGGAAGTTTTTAGGTCTTTGAACATATTTCAAACAGCTAATTTAGAGTCTTGGTCTAACAAATCCAATGTTTGGAATTCCTCAGGGACAGCTTCTAATGACTGTTTTGTTGTTGGTTTTTTTTTTTTCCTCTTTTCCTGTACCTGGGCCAAACTCTCTTGCTTCTTTGCATGTCTTATGTTTTATTGACAATTAGACATAATAAGGCAGTTCTGACAGACCTGTCCCCTCCCAGCTAGGGTTTGTTGTCATCATTAGTGCCACTGTTTGCTTGGTGGCTTTCCTGAATTTAATTCTTTAAAGCCTGTATTCTGTCATGAGTGGCCACTGACGTCTACTCAGTTCACTTAGTGATCCCGCTAATGATCAGACAGATTTCCTTAAATGCCTGGAACCAGTAAGTTTCTCAGGCTTTGTTGTGAGGGTCCTAGGTGCGTTGGCTCATTTTCTCAGAAATGTAAGCTGCCTGGCTGAGTACTGAAGGCCTCAGGTTAGCCATGGGTGACAGCTTAGACCTTAGAGGTTTTTTTTTTTTTTTTTTTTTTTTTTAAGATTTTATTTATTTATTTGACAGACAGAGACACAGTAAGAGAGGGAACACAAGCAGGGGGAGTGGGAGAGGGAGAAGCAGGCTTCCCGCTGAGCAGGGAGCCCGATGCGGGGCTTGATCCCAGGACCCTGGGGTCATGACCTGAGCCGAAGGCAGACGCCTAACAACTGAGCCACCCAGGCGCCCCAGGCCTTAGCGGTTTCTCCGGGGCATGCACACGCCCCTACATTGCATGGAGTTTCAGATTCCTAAGACTATGTTGGAGGTTTGCAGAGGATCCTGTAGATGTCTCCTTCCCGTGTTCCCTTTTAAACTTTTGGTTAGCATATTGTTTGCCCCAGCTGTTACCACTCCCTCTGGCAGCTGTGATGTTTACAGTTGCTGCCGATTGGTTTCAGAAAGTGCTCCCTGGAAGGAAGTTGTTTGCCCTGGATGAGTTCTTTTTTTTTTTTAAGATTTTATTTATTTATTCATGAGAGACAGAGTGAGAGAGAGAGGCAGAGGGAGAAGCAGGCTCCCAAGGAGCAGGGAGCCCGATGCGGGACTCGATCCCAGGACCCTGAGATCATGACCTGAGCCGAAGGCAGACACTTAACCATCTGAGCCACCCAGGCGCCCACCCTGGGTGAGTTCTGAGGTCAAACAGAGACCACCCCACCCTGGGGCTTTGCAGGAAGCTGCCAGACAGGTTAGATAATGACAGCTGGGAGTGGCGCTTTGGAGAAGCCTCAGTCCGGTTCGCCCATTCACAGGCTCCTGGGCTGTTGGTTTGCACAGTGTTTGCAGACTGTTCTCAAGGCTACAGGGCTGGGGAGAAGGGGGGTCAGGACCCAGGCAAGATAAAGTTCTGTGAAGCTCGCTGTACTGCATTCACTGTTTTTCTTGGATAAATACTCCGTGGATTGTTATAAACTGGTTAATTTCCAGAGTTCTAAAACGGATTTTGCCTATTTTTTGCCCAGTGTTCTCATTCCTTTTATGGAGGAGAGTTATTTCAGAGGTCCTTATGCCACATTCCTGCTGATATCCCTTCTCTTCCTAGTCACTTTTTTTAAAGATTTTATTTATTTATTTGACAGAACACAAGCAGGGGGAGCTGCAGGCAGAGGGAGGGAGAGAAGCGGGCTCCCTGCTGAGCATGGAGCCTGTTGTGGGACTTGATCCCCGGACCCTGGGATCATGACCTGAGCCGAAGGCAGACGATCAACCAACTGAGCCACCCAGGCGTCCCACTTCCTAGTCACTTTTAACTCCCTTTAAACTAGTCCTCCCATGAGCAGCTGAGTTACATAATCTACTGCGGAAATTCATGCCAGCTGCCTGGATCTTATTAAATACCTTAAAGCTGCATGACATATCAGCATTTTTGCATACTTTATTTCATTTAATTATAAATATAAGAACCACTGATGAGTGACGGTATAAGCTCTAATAAGTGTTCTTTATTTTTTTCAGGATTGCTTATTAGGGAATAATTTTACAATATTTTATATTGGCTTGTTATTTAGTCTCTAATGCTGATAAACTGTTGTATCATGTTAAATTGAATCCTATGGTTGGTTAGACGTTAGTCCAAAAACCATTACGTGAAAACAAACAAAAACCACTCTGGCATGAGTAGTAAGCCATACATAAGTTTAAACTGCCCTCTTTGGCTTGCTGCTACTTCTTGATAAGGTTAAATGAAATTTATGCTGTTTACATTTTAGGTTATCACAGACTGCTGACTAGGAGTGTGGCTGAGACTCCAGTACATAAGCAAGTGTCCAGAAGGCTTCTTCATAGACAAATCAAGGGCAGGTGAGTAACATCCTCGTCTAGTTGCTTCGTGCACCCACACGGCCTTGCTAATGGTCATGTGGGCTGTTGTCCATCTCCAAAAGCCTCTTGTGACTCCCATCTTAACTGTCTTGTTTATAACCAAAGAGCGTTCAGCATTCTATAAATTCTACAAAGGCCAGAGAACCATACAAAATGTACTTTTTTGTCTCACTTCTTACATTTGGCATAATTATTTTGAGATTTACCCATGGTGTTGCATGTGTCCATAGTTCCATCTGTGTGTGTGTGTGTGTGTGTGTGTGTGTGTGCGCGCGCGCGCGCGCGCACATGCTGAGAAGCATTCCATCAAATGGATATTCAGCATTTTTTTAAAAATCATTCATCGTTGGATGGAGGGAGTCGTCCTGGCTGCTGGGCAAGACTGGAAGTCTAGGATCTCAGCTTGGCCTATGGGCGTGGTGAGGCCAAAGTTTTCCGTGGCAGTTAGTGTCTGGGAGTTTATCATGCTAGGTTGCCCCTTTCCTGGTTCTTCAGCCAGAGAGAACTGGCTTTCCTTAGAGCAGTTTTTGTACGTGTTGATGTATTTGGGTTGTCCGTCCCCCCGCAGCACCCAGTCTGGGATCTATGAAGCAAAAAGGTAACTCCGGGAGCTTACTCTCCTGTCTCTCCTGGGGTCTGGAGGTCCCCAGACAATCTGCCTCCTTTTGCCGCCTTTTAGTCTGTAGTTCATTTTCTATACAACATCCAGGGTTTTTAGCTGCACTTCACAGGAACAAAAGGGAGCCTTGTCAGGGCTTCATCTAGATATTACTCGTGTACAAATTTTACACACTTGTATAAGAATCTGCAGGACAAATTGCAAGAAGTGAAATTGATAGATTAGAAGGCATACATACTTCTAATTAATTTTTACATTGTAAAACTGCTTTCTAAAATGTGCTAACCATTTTACTTCAGCCGGTAACGTGTATGAGCGTGCGTGCCGGCACTGGTGTTACCAAACCCGGGGCTCTTCGTTGCTTTGTGAGGTGAGAGATGGTGTATCTCTAATGTGCATTAAGTAGGAGTTAATAGTGACATTGAATAATCCTTATGCTTGTCGTTCCTTAAGGTCCTCTGATCCTGGTCCTGATATTGACATTGTGGAAGAGTCCCCAGAAAAAGGAGCAGACGGTAGTGCCTACATTTGCTTTGCGTTGCACGCAGGGCTTGACCTCACAACTCTGAGATCAAGACCCGAGCTGAGATCGAGTCAGATGCCTCACCAACTGAGCTACCCAGCAGCCTCTCTTTTGTGTTGCATTTTAACTAGTTTCTCTGAAAACCTTTCTGTACTTGTGTTCTCGCTCAGCATATCCGAAAGATATTATAGAGATGTTGTGACAGCTCTGGCCCCACAGTATAGCTCAGTAAATATTTATTAGTAAATGGTCTCTTACACAGAATTTACCAAGGGGATTTCTGGAGAAATCTTTTTACACAGTAGAAATGGGATTCAGGGTACAGGCTAACCACTGTATAATACAAAGTGCTGTGGCTTATTTTAAAAGTGCATGTGGGGTCACCCGGCTGGCTCTGTCGGTAGAGCTCTTGATCTCGGGGTTGTGAGTTTGAGCCCCACGTTGGGTGTACAGATTACTTAGAAATAAAATCTTTTTTTCTTTTTTAAATTTTATTTATTTATTTGAGAGAGAGAAAGCAAGAGCGAGGAGGAGAGGCAGAGGGAGAGGGCGAAGCCAGACTCTCACTGAGCAGGGAGCCTGACGCGGGGCTCAATCCCAGGACCCTGGGATCACACCCCCTTCTTAAAGACCTGACTCCCTGTTCCTGTCCCCCTTTCCTGCTAGCTGGGTTAGACAGCCAGCCCGCTCTTGTGCTCCCACGTTGTCCCATGAGCCGAAGGCAGACGCTCAACCAACTGAACCACCCAGGCGCCCCTAGAAATAAAATCTTAAAAAAAAAAAATAGTACTTGTGATTCAGGAGTTACCCCAAAAAACCTTTTTTAATGATTCAAGTAATTTACTGTAGAAATTAAGAAAATAGAAGCAAAATTTTAATAGTCGGTAATCCCACAATTTGGAAATACCGTTAAGATTTGAGTTTTAATAATACTCTTACTGGTGTCGTTTCTATACAAATGTATGTAACATAAACAAAACTGCAATTAAAAATTTTTTTTTTTTTTTTTTTTTACAAAAGTCACACTATATAAACCTTTTTTTCCCCCCACCCAACATCGTGGTTAAAAGGCTGGCAGTTTGAGACTTCTGAGGGTGACAGTCTAGTGGATCAGTGGGTTTCTTGTACCCTGGGGGAATATATTACACTCTTTGTAGCTTTGTTACAACACTTCAGAAGTCTCAAGTTAGTAACTTGTCAGATTTCCGTCTTGTATGTGGCATTACGTAAATTTTACCATTTCATATGTGGGAAAATGTAAAAAGCTTGCATTTCTCCCTGGTTACTAACTGGGATTCTGGTTTTGCAGAAGTAAGCTTGAGACGAAGTCCTCGAATCAAGCAGTTGTCACTCAGCAGGACGAATTCTGGTTCCTTCTATTCTGGGTCTCAGCTAAAGTCTCGAAATGTGCAAAGAGTTCACTCATTCCAGCAAGACAAGTCAGGTAACATGCTTGCTCACCTGCCTTCAGAAGTCTGGGCCTACTCGGCGGGAAGTGTTTTTGGGAAAAGTACAAAATTTGACATTTTCTTTCTTGACACTGGAACAGTAGAATAGGTATGTCCGTTAGAGGTTCAGAGTGATGGACGATCCATGACCTTCATTAACAGTGTCCTCCCTTTGGATTCCTACAACTGGTCATCCACACTTATCCTTAGAGGTGATTTATCCATTCAACAGGAATTACCCATTATTTCCACCTTGTGTTCATATTCTACACTCAAGCGTCCAGGTAGAAGGTGATAACGGTTTGTCCTTCATGCTTTTATCCATTAGTCTGGATCCTCAGATATGTGTTTTTATATTTACAAATAGTTTTACTTGCCTAACATATATAAGGGCTGAAGTTAGTATGCGGGCTTATTAAAATTCAAGATGGCAGCAATAATTGTAGTTGCTGGCACAATTAGGTGGGATCTGTCCCCACTCCCACTTGCTCTAAAAAATTGTCCTCTTGTATAGACTGGCTGTTCTATTAGTATTGGGAGGGCAGGAGCTAAGAAAGACTCACTGTTTTTGACTTGCAGACCAAAGAGAAAATTCTCCAAACCCAAGTATTCGTTCTCCCAAGAGGCTGTTTTTTGGGGCATTGTCTGAGATGGTCAGTCCCTCAGAGAAGGGTTCAGCTCGAATTCAGAGGCCTTCAAGAAACCCACTGGGCTCTGAGATACCCATAGCTTACCAGGTAAAACATTTCTGTAATGTTTAAAATAGTGTGGTCTTGAGGGGGAAACAGACATGGCCCAGAAAACCCACTGAGTACATTAGGAATGAGAAAGCAGGTGATCTGTAGCTACTAACAGCTATTTGGGGGTGGTTGGGTTGATCCAGATGAATGAATATTGGGTATGTGGGGATGTAAGGCACTAGTCTGGCTGAGGCCATTGTGGTGGGGAGAAAATAGAAATGATCTCCTCTGGTCTGTTGGTTTCATCCACCACTTTTATCATACACTATGTATATATCTTTCTGAAATGTGCAGGGATCAGTCCTGTTTCCCTTACATTGTCCACCCAATCTAGTCACCCACCTCAGAAAGTTGAGAGTCACTCTTGACTGCTCCCTCTTTCCAGACAGAGCCAATCAATCAATCCTACCACTTTTATTTATAGACCGCATTTGATACCCATTCCCTCTTCTCCATCCCCTGCAGTTCCTGCCTGCCTTCAGTTCTGCCTGGAACATTTCAACTGCCTTTTCCCTCTCATGTCCATCCTGCCCCCAGAAGCCGGAGTGATCTTTCACACTGCATCACTTTGCTTAAAGCTCTATGACTCTTTGTTAAAGCAGGGTTTTCTAGGTTTTCCTAAAATGGAACCCTTTTATTAAAAAAAAAAAATCTTTGGAAACCCAATAAAACGGCTTGGAGGTTGGGGGAGGACACAAAGCTCTGGGGGTGGGTTTGAAGACCACCGATCTCCAGGACCAGGGTCAGTCCTCCCAGACAGGCATGGGCTGCTGTGGGCTGGCTGTGGCCCTTGCCTCTCACCCTCCTTTGCTTCATAATCCACTTTCCCGGCCACATCAGGCTGCATGCTGGCCTGCACACAGCTGCTGCTGTTCATCTTAGGCAAAGGAAGAGTTCCTACTTTCTCACCTTTGGCCTTTACCTGCTGACACCCCCTTCTTAAAGACCTGACTCCCTGTTCCTGTCCCCCTTTCCTGCTAGCTGGGTTAGACAGCCAGCCCGCTCCTGTGCTCCCACGTTGTCCTGTGCGTGGCCCTGTCAGTGCACTGGTGACACTGTGTTGTTATCTGGCTGTGCCCCATTTGAACGTGAAATGCCCACTAGACCAGGATTCCCTTGAGATAATCAAATAGAAACGATAGGTGTCTGATCTCCTTTATATGTTGGGTGTGTAACTGCCTTTTGCAGAAAGGGAGGGGGATTGGCTGGGGGTCTCCTTCCTAAGATGGCTGTGTAGCTGTACCTTAGGTGTCTGTATATTCCATACCCTACCTCCCCCGTCACAGACACACACACTCACACGGGGCCCGGCACATGGTGGGGGCGTGGCAAGCACATGCTGAATGCAGGTGAACAGCAGAGGATGTGACACCTGGAGGCCATGTTAGGCAGAGATCAGAAGGAGCTATCTCCTTGAAGAGAAAGGTAGCTGTGAGTGGTAGAGTGACACATTGTTAGAGGCAAAGCCTGGTTTAATTGCCGTATGCATATTACGAAAATTTTTTGTCTTAGACCCAAGATTAGATTCAGTGTTTGGTGCTAGGAAAAAACAGACAAGTGAAATCTGGGTCATGGTTGGAAGTGGAAACGTGTTGCTATTGGAAATCAGCTTACGGTCATTCCATCGACCGCCCAGAAATCTCCCATCTGCCTTTCTCATTGCCTTAGGACCAAAATGCTCGATAGAGAATAGGGGTTATGATATTTAGGCACTGAAATAAGCATCTCTTTACAGACTCCTAAGAAGAGTAACCGGAAGTCTCCAAGCTCTTCTAAAGCTACCCCAAGAAGGTTCCCTCGTACGCCACAAACTTCACTGTGCACCCCGGAAAGGCGGCGGAAACCCCCTACAGAAGTGACTCCTGCCAAACAGGTCATTTTTAAGGAGTCCTTAAAAGACTCCTCACATAGCTCGGATTCACCATCTCAGCCCAAAGTCACTCCTTGGAAAGGACACTCCCTGGCAAAAGGAGGAACCTCTCCTCTTGAAACGAAGATACCAAGAACTCCCAAAAGGCCAGGGGGTCAGCCACCTGGATTTCTGAATTCTACTTGGCCACCCTCAGTGACTTCCAGTCCCAAAAGCACCTCCTGCCCAGCAGGCCTGACCGGGAGTGAGGGTCTGACGCCCGTCAGGTCCGCACTGAGAACCCCTCCAAGAGCAGCAGCCTCAGGGGGGCGAAGAGAAACCCCTCCGGATCCAGCGCACCCCCAACCCCATGTCCCCGGGGCTTCTCAGGCGGAGGAGCTCACACAGAAATGGAGGGATAAAGCTGCCTCAGTCCCCAAGACACCGCGGAGCACCAATCTGACTTCTCCCCACGATCTTTCTCCAAAAAAACCTTTGGCCTCTCCCTTAGGTGAAATTGCCAAGAGTCCATTTTGGGAATTTTCGATAGAATCTCCTCCCCGCGAAGAACTGGATTGGGCAGAGCCCCAGAAAGCACCCCCTGTAGCCTTGCCTCTCTCCTGGCCTGGTCCCTCCACTCCCCCCCGAATCTCACAGATCGCCCAGTCTGAGCCCGTGCCCCCTCGGGCCCCTGCAAAAATTGGAAAAAGGCACAGAGAGACCTCGGACCTGGAGGAGGGCCGGCCGAGCACCTCTGCTGCTCCCAGGGTTGCCGCAGCTGGCAGCCCCGCCGCCCTCACAGACGCTGCAGAGGACCAGCCTTCCCCGGGAAGACACAGCCCCCCTGGGACCGGCTGCGGGAGTGACTGGTGTGGGTTCTCTCCTGTGCTGAGGGCAAGTGCCCCGGGCCACGTCGCTCTGCTGGATGAAGCGGAGCACCACGGCAGCGACGGCTCGCCAGGCCACGTCACGGCAGCGGAAGGACGTGAGGCGTCAAGGCCGGTGATGGCGCGGGAGAAGCCTCCTCCGCCGGACCCCGGGAGCCCGCCGTCCCCTCCTTCCCACGGGTCCCGCTCTCCCCGGGCCTCGTCCTACGTCCTGCGCCGCACCGCCGACAGAAGGCAGCGCCAGGCGGCCATGCCGCTGGAGAAGCTGCAGGCTTCGACTCGGCTTTCGAAAGCCTCGGCCAGCCCCCAGACCTACGAGGTGGAGCTGGAGATGCAAGCTTCGGGCCTGCCCAAGCTTCGCATTAAAAAGATAGACTCCAGCTGCCCGGCGGAAGCCGAGCCCCCGAGAAGGGAGGAGAGCTCCCTCCCCGGACTCAGCATGCCTGGGGCCAGCAAGTTCTCAGGGAAACCTGAAGCCACCTACGTGTCCCCCCCCTGCCTTCGTCCCTCGCACAGCACCCCCGGTAAGAGCGGGGGACAGACCTACATCTGCCAGTCCTGTACCCCCACCCGCTGCCCCTCTAGCACCCCCTCTCCGTTTCAAACAGACGGTGTCCCCTGGACCCCGTCTCCCAAGCACAGCGGGAAGACCACCCCTGACACCATTCAGGACTGGCCGCGGAGGAAGAGGGCGGGGGGCGGCAGCTCTGCCGGGAGGGGCGACGTGGGCACAGACCTCCCCGCAGGCGTGTTCCTGCTCGAGCCGGAGCGAAGGGAGCGAGGAGGTGGCCTTGAACTTGGCAGCAGCAGGACTCCCCTCCTGGGGGATTTTGAGCTTGAGGGGGTGTGCCAGCTGCCAGACCAGTCGCCTCCCAGGGACAGTGCGCCTCAGGCTGAGGAAGCCTTCTCCTGGGGCCAGTTCGGGTGGGGTTCCAGGAAGAGGCTCCTTCCCGCCAAGGAGGAAGCGCAGTGTCCAGCCAAGAGAGTGTGTGAGGAGCAGAGAGGAGACGCAGAGCTGAGCAGGAGTGAGGAGTGGTCTCCACGTGCCAGTGGGTGGCACGTCCCCTCCCCGGGGGCCGACGACGTGTTGGTGCCAGGTGAGTCCGCGGCCCTGGGGTGGCGGCGGGCGGTTCCTTTGGCGGCGGGGCGCCACGGGCCGTGCTCACCCTCGACCCTCCCGTAGGTTCCACGCCCCCGCCCGGCCACGCGCCGCGGAGCGGCCTCTCGGCTAGCGGCCTGCAGGCGCTCACCCACTCCCCGCTGCTGTTCCAGGGGAAGACGCCTTCCTCGCGGTGTCACGAGGCCAGAGGTAATTTGTTGAGCGAAGGTCCTGGAGACTTAGGCTGACCGAACTTGGGTCCTTCGGGTGACTCCCCAGAGCTCGCTCAGGGTGGCCAGGCAGTGGGATTGTGGAGTCGGAGGGCGTGCCCGATCCGGGACAGCGGACTTTGTCCCTGCGGTGTCCTGTGCTCTTCCCAGAGAAACCACACTAGCACTCCACTGTGTCATGAAACAGCTTCTGGAAGCAGTGACAGAGGTGGACCTACGGTGCAGTGTAGTCACTGGCACCCAAGGAGCGTGTGTCCGGCAGCACGGTGGCAGCCCGCCCCCCTCTCCCCGCAGGGGATTACACCCTTGCGCTTCCGTACCCGCGCTAGGATTAGGGACTGGCTGCTGTGATCAGCCTTCAGACTTGAGGGGTCCCTTTCCTCGACCTCACCCGGGAAAGGGACAGCCTTGCAGGTGCTCAGTGCGCTGGGTTAGAAACCTCTAGAATGGAAGGGGAATCCAGGAGGCTGGAGCCTCCAGTGAATCCCTTCCCCGAGACCGGCATATAAATCACGCAAAACAGCAGAATGCACAATCCAGCTGAGGGAATTCAGACCGCAGGACTTGGCTTTTCCAAACCGCTGCCAGCCCTGCGCTGACGTTGAGTGTGGCGAGCCTGGAAGAAAGCGCAGCATGCGCACCGGCAGGCAGTGCCTGCATGGGGACCTCTCTCCCGTTCAAGCCCCTTCTCTCCTGTTCCGTCCTCACTTCCTGCCTGCCCCCTCTGCCTTCTTCTAGATGAGGAGATGGAGGTCGTCCCCCCCACGGCCGAAGAATCTCCTTTCAGCCGAGCATTCTCCAGGAGACGCCCCATCAGCAGGACTTACACACGGAAGAAACTCCTTAGCTAGTTAGGCTGGAACTGGTAGGGGGACCTAAACCTCCGCTCGCTACTGAGCTTGGCCAGAGCCACTGCCTTCCCAGGCCAGACGAAGTGCTCTGAGAGCAGTTTCCTCTGGACGTGTCAGGCATTCCAGGCTCCTGTCACAGAGGATTTCTGACCCCAGAAACTCAGTTCATCTGAGCCAGGGCCTAAGCTGTCCTACGTCACCCTGGAGGGCTCCCTGGAACCAAGAAAGCTCAAAAGATAAGTCAGCCTGGTCCCCGTGGGCTTACAGGTACTGGGGGGCCTGGTCCCAGGCCTCTCTTACTGTGTCAGCTCTCCAGTTGCCACAAGAGTGCCTTAGGGGTTTTAATCCCCCTCCGGGGGTGCCTTCCTCCCAGCCCTGCCCCTTGTTAGGGAGGTGGTGAGGTTGGTGCTGACTCAGCTGGGGAGGCAGACAAGGAATTTTAAGAGCAGGCTCCCCTTCGGCCCCTGCCTCTGAGAGACCAAGGCCGGTCCGACAACCACCCCCCCTACTTGTGAAGTGGGAGAAGGGCTTCTCAGGGGCCCCTCACAAAGCTGAAGGCTGCAGCCAACAGCAGAATCAATTTCTTACCTTCCCTAAGTCTAATAAAATCCTCTCGGGCTGCGTAGCATTCAGTGCCTTTCTGTTTAAACCTGGAGGCCTCAGGTTGACTCACTCTGGCCGAGCTCTAGTGGTTCCCGGCCCCTCCGAGTCAGCCCTGAAACCTGGCCCGGCCCTGTCCTCACCATGCTCCGGGAGATGGGGGGGGGGTGCGGGGTGCCCTACTGGGAGCCTGAAAAGCTTGCAAGCCTGTCGTGTCCTCAGATGGAATTCCCTTATCATATTGTAGATCAAACCAAGTCAGAACTCCTATTTCTCCCTTCAGAGAGTCTCATTTATTATAAAATGGTTTTACAAAATTCTAAAAATAGGCAAAACTTCTTCATTCCCACCATAAACAAAAGACCATATAAAAACCCAACCTGGTTGCCATTGAGTGTTCTGGGTCCAGCACTGGCTGAACCCCAGATCGCCGGGCACACACGTGGCAGGCTTGAGACCAGAACTGCCTTTTGCAAACTCTCAAGCCAAAAGATGGCAAGGTGGTACCATAGCTCAAAAAAAATGAGGGGCAGGAGTTTGCATATTTTAAAAAAAATTGAGTCCAATTCATTTGGGCTGTAGCCCGAATTTGTTGACTCCAATGGGGTAAAGATCGGGACCCGGATCTGCAGTGGGAAGACTGTCCTTCCCAGAAGCGAAGGCACGCGGCTGGACCGTGCAGCAGGCTC